TACTGCACGCGAGGTCGCGTGTTCGAATCCGGGCAGAGGCATTTCTTTTATCAGCTTATATTTTAGGCGTTTTAATTTATTTAAAAATATAATAATGCAATCAGAAAATGATGTTTAGTTCCAAAAAATTAAAACGCTGATTGGGAATTTAGGATTTATTAGTTTAATCCCTAATTATAAAGTCAAATATTAAAAAACCCTTTTCTTCTTGATTCGACAGTTTAATCCGACCCGTTTATATCCGATTCGACCCGTTTAATTTATTTGTGGATATTATTTACGTGATTAATTTTTTTTTGAACCCCCTTGATGAAAATTCTCCCTCCGCCATTGGTTCAATGACCTTTTAAGATATTAACCCATATAAAAACTTACCATACAAGGATATAGTATATCATAAAAACTTTTTTTTTACTCATTCAGGATTTTATATTATATTGAAATCTAACTAATTTTGATTCGAGATCTATAAGGTCTTATTAAGAGAATTTTTTTTAAAAAAATTAAATAATTTTATGTCATAAATTAAGGATATAGTATGTCATAAAAATAGTTTTTTTTACTCTTTAATTTGTGTTGCACTTTTATAGATCTTTTCATGTTAGCTACTATTGTTTCTATTTCATGAGCATTCTATAAAGTTATATTATTGTCTTGTCGCGTCAAATTGTCAAGAGAGCATTTTCTTATTAGTTAAATCGAAATCGAATCGTTAAGGATAAAAAATTGATAAAACTAGCTTATTGATTTGATGTATATAAAAACCAAAAACCGATAAACCAAATCGATAATACATTAAACCGACCAATCACCCCTTTTCTTAGACGTGTAAGCGAAAACCCTACACTTCTTTTCCTACTCATTAGCTATCAAATGAGTAAATCCGAAGTCGATTCTCAATCCAAAAAAATGTCAAAGCATACGTGATTGTTATTGAGAGATCTGACGGTAAGATTAAAAATGAAAAGAAGAGATTGAAGATCATACTTCATCTTCAGTCTCCAATAGGTAATTATCAACATGTTATTTGCTTTAAGCTTCTAAGTAGAGCATTTTTTACTTCATCTTCAGTCTCCAATCCTTGAGGAACTTTAACAAGTATGTCATGTAGCATAAGATCATTGACACTTGAGATGTTGGCATGGTAGACATGTAGTTCAACTTCTTGAAGAGCACACATCAATCTTGTTGATGGATAATTCACATTTTCTGATTGAACCCTAATCATGGCATCTTGACCTACCATCTTCACTTCAATTTCCATAGTCTGGTTGTTTGGTTCAAATGTTGCACAAGATAATGTGAGATACTTTGTAACATTTGAAATGGGATTGTGTCACATTGGAAGTAAAAAAAAAATAGTTTGGAGGCTTTATTATTATAGTTTTCTCACATGCATATCTTGGCAACAATAACATATCAGTGTAATTTCATAAATAGGAATTCAGAAAAGGCGGTGCGCATAAAGACATTATCCTATCTTGTGAAGGTAGATCTAGAAGTGTCCAATAGATGTTTGGCTCAAATAAACTATTTTAAAGTAAATATGAAAAGGGAATACTGAAGAAGTTGTGATAATAATAATGGAGAAATTAAAAGAGACACATGCATATTGTGACATATTTAAAATTATAAAATTCAAAATTCTATTTTTAATTTAAATTTATATTTAGATATTTTTGTTTTTATTAAAACTTAATAAATTTAAATTAACATATATAACATGTCTTTTCATGGAATAATTAAGATGACTATTTTGAATTAATTCTTTTTTTCCAACTCTATAAATATAAGCCTTCTTGGAGAAGTGATCAAAACAATCCTTTTAGAAATACTCATTCCATCTCAATTTAGGTGATGTTATTTGACTGAACACATAATTTAAAAAATGTCTTTTGTTGATTTATTAAAAGTGAAACTCAATCTTTGAAATAATTGACAAATAAAAATGAACAGAGTGAATATGTTTTACGAGAAGAAAGCGCTCCTTACATGATCCCAAGAAGTGGTAGAGCTTTGGTTGTCCACTACATTATCATTTTCCATTTTGTGTTTCTTCTTGTGCTCTGAATAATAGTAATTGTTATGAAGTTTTGATTCTAATTCATCCACTTTAGCTTTCAGTTGGGTAATATATGTTACAGCATCTGATAGCAATGTGGCTTTGTCCATTTTCGTTACGTTTGGAACCACCTCGCGCAACGCATAGAATCGAGAGTTAAGTTTCTCTCTTCTCTGCCTCTCCGCCTCTACGTGGTTTCCTTGTGTCTCGCAAATCTCTCTCCCCTTTCTCCCCCTTTTCTTGGAAGTCTTGCTCTGTACAGGCAAAATAAGTACTTTTCACTTTTTTCATAAATATTACGTATTTCATTTGACTTTCAACATGTTAGGTAAAAAGTGAGTTGAAATTTAAAAAATTTGCTAAAAAAGAAATAATCATTATTTTTGAGACAAACAAATTCAAATAGAAAGAATAATTTTTTTTTTCAAATTCCTCAATTCTAATGCCCAAATGGCCACTAACTTGAGATTTTTTTTAGAAAAAGCAAGAATGATGCCCATACATTCAATTAAATGAAAGAAATGTGAACTAAAATATGTCTTTTCTTTTCTGAATTTCATGGTCAGTCAAATTACATTATATAGATTGAGACGGAGAAAAGTATCTTCTTAACATTCTTACTTATCCTTCAGCGTGATTCAAATCCTCTCTCTTTTGGTGGATATGTTCAACTACTTGAACTGACTCACTTGTCCAAGTAAATGTTAGAATATCCATAGTATAGATGTAACATATATCAACGCGAAAGCAATAAATTCAGTTGAAGCAACTCAACCTTAAATCCAAACTTTGTTTTCCTGTGGTGTTGTACCTACTACTATTTCACCTTTCTTTGCTTCTTGACCATATTGTTCCAAACAATTGAAAAGACCAAAATCATCAATTGGACCAATTGTTTCATAACCAAAGAACAGAGACTTGACTTGTTGAACCAAGTTCAAGTCCTGTTTAATCACTGTGCTCGAGCCTAGTTCGAGCACACCACTAGAAATTGGAATATATACAAAAGTATTAATCCCATGAACATAATGAGCTTCTTTAGCCCTTTCACAATGACAAAACTCAAATTGTTGATCCCCTGTTAGCCACACAAAAGAATCACTACTAAAACATTTTCCAACAACTCCTTCACCAACAGAAAAACACTGAGCTAAAGACATCAAGTAGAACCATTCGACGTCTTTATTATTCGTCGTCTTCATGTTTAAATGGCCATCACCCCATGTTAAAGACAGACTATTATTCGACGATTGCCAGAAAATAGCATACGCCCAATCAGAATAATAATTTGTTTGATTCTTGAAAATATATTGAAGCCTATGTTGAAGGCTTGATGGTGATGATGAAGTGGAAAAGATTGGTTCATCCATTTTTGGTAATAAAGAGAGATGAATATTTGAAGCACGTATGATAAGGAACACCATTAACTCAACTTATATATATGTGCTCATAGCCTCATACCTAACTTCCTCATTTTGTTCCAATTTATCTGACGGTGTTTGAATTCGAAAGTTAAACAACAAATTTGTCACGACCTTGATCTGTCGTGAGTGACACCCACACTAACCCTTTAGTGGGAGAACCAGCTACCAACCCAAGACTAACCCATCAACCATTTTAAAACCAAACCATGGAATAAAACGCTAATAAAATAGTCTTAAAACAATTATAAGTTTGAGCTTCTATAAATTTAACTAGTCAATTAAAACGATTGCGTAACCTAAAACTTGAAAGTCATAGTATCAAAACATCTAACAGTCTAGGATAGAGGATGGAAGCCCAAATAATAAAAAAACATAAGTTTAGAATGTCTGAGTCGGAATAATGGACTAAGAAGGAAAAAGAGAAATCCATAGTAGTCTGAAGGAAGTATCTCCCTTGGATTTAGATGACGGAAGTCTCACAATTGAGGTCTCGAAACAACCGTTGGAATGTAGACGGTACTCAACAAAGAAAAAGCAAGTGCAATATCAGATACCCATGTATACTCATGTAACGTATTCATTGCATACGATTGATAACAACTTCCATTTCATATACTGTCTTTTCAGTTTTCCTAATCATATAACATGTATGTACTACTAACTACGCAATTAACAAAAAGACACACACAACAACCATCATCTTCCTCGAATCAAAACTCTAAAGAACTGGAGCTTTCCCTTGGAATTTGAAAAAGTCATATTGGAATTTAGAAGTATTTTATTAAAACATGATTTTTCCTTCGATTTCTTACTGAATCAACTCATTGGGAAAACATATGCTTGGTAAAATATTAGTAAGCTTTCTGATTTTTCGTATAAAAAGACTATTATTTATTTTCTCACCGATTCATTCAAAATATTTATAATAACAGAGTGATAAGCATGTGGTTGGGCAGCATAGCTGAACTCCATACTATAGCAATATCTAGTTTATGTACAAATTTCTCCTTTTAAGTGTATCACACTACAACAAATAAAAAATTATTTTTGTGAGAAATCGTTCGTATTTAACCAATAAATTTTATAAGTGCTTTTTGAATAGTAATTATAGTATTAGTCAAATTTTTTAAAAGTGTTTCTAAATGTATTATTTTCAAAAATATTTTTTTAAAAAAGAATTTTATTTTAAATTCTAAAAAATAAATTTTACTATTTCCGAAAAAGCTTATATTTCCCCTTAAAATTTTGACTTGACATATGTTCTTCTTTTTTCTAAATAAATATTTTTGGTCTTCCAAAATTTGGCCAAATAATCTATACATATCTATCTTAGATATTTTAGTTTTTTTTTTTGTTTTTAAAAGTATGCTTTTAAACAAAGTACTACGTGTTCAAACGTCATATCAAGAAATTTTGTTATTTTAATATGTTTATTATAATGTCATTTTTGGCTATCAACCCAAATAATTTGAGCCTAGGACTAGGAGTATATTATATATAATAAATGTTACATCGTACAATATTTTATATATATATGGACAGAAAGGCTTTGTTTATGGCATCATAATTTCTTTATTCTAATCATCTGCCAATTATAAAAGAGAGGAAACTGGAAAGTACTGGAAAACGTTTTAAATTAATCGTCTTTTTCAATGCCTTTTATTTTAAGTTAAATAATATTAATATATACCTAGCCTAATTGCCTAGTTGCTTATTTTATCAATCAATAATAGAACTTCTCAAAAAACAAGTTTTTCAGTATTGACAAATCAAAATTTTCATTAAAAGAGTTAGAAAAATAAAAATATAGTATATATATATATATATATATATATATATATTGTGGGAGTAGGGCTTCTGCAGTGGCGAGGAGGTGGATGCTCAAGGGGTGGGGTGGGGGTGGGACGTTGGGTAGATGGGGATGAGACAGTAAACTTGAAATGTCACTTATGAAACTTATTTTTTCTACCTTCATTAGGTAAGTCATTTTTCTCATTTAAGAAAATTTGTTTTCTTAGAAAAAATACTTTTCAAAATATTTTAACCAACCAAACATGCATGCTAAATTTAAATACATACCAAACACACCCTAAGTTAGGGCTTATATATTATGTACCCTAATTTGAAAATATGAGAAGGAATATTTCTAGATAATGTAAACGTAGCATGAATAATAAGAAGGGAAAGACCAACATGCACATGAGTAGTAGTGCAATGGTGAGATTGTTTCACCCTTAATTAGAGGTCTCACGTTTGAACCCTGGATATGGAGAAAATTATGCTGGAACCACCACTGCCAAATGAACCCTACAGTGCACTATCCAAATTTGATGGAATTCTTATATGAACTCTGATCAAGGAATTGGAAAAAAAAAAAAAAGGTCTTAAATCACACATCTCATTTTCTTAGTAGATAGTATTCATGTATACATAATACTGATAACATGGTATCTGATTGGATAAGTTGTGCCTGTCTTTAGGCCTACAAATAAGGTATAAAACATTGAATTTCATTGTAATATAAAAATTCTTATTATATTAGCAGCCTCTTTATTTAGTTGGCCAAGTTGTGTCAATATTTTTAAGTTTATAATTTGCTAATCTATTTTTTATTATGTAGATGCCAATTATTTGTGGGCGTGGTATATTTATGGGTCACTTACATAAATTTACTAGTTTAGTAACTAATTATTTCTCTTAGGGCCTTTAACTTTTTATTATTACGGAACTTAACAGAATTTGGACTTCAGATACATATATCTGAGCGTCCAGATGCATATATCTCATATACATGACGTCAAAATCAGGTATAATTTATTTTTGATACATTGTATCTAAGTGGATTCGCATGTATCTGACTCTCTCACTTGTCTATCTCGCTCTCTCACTAGTAAATAAGATAGGAGTATTTGTTTTAGGGAAAATTGTATGAAATAACAAACTATTAATTCAAATTAAATGTTATATCCATAAATTATTTTATTTGTAATTCGCAGCAAACATCCCATTTTTTATTTACTACCACACAAAAAATTATATTATTATAATTTATTTTAGAGCAAAAAATTATCATTTAATTAATACCAATTAAAAATTATCAGTATCATATATATATATATATATATATAAAAGAGAACCTTAGGCGCGCCTACGTGGCGCAACCACAAACCAAAATTCCCTTTTAATTTATTTATTTACAAAACTAGCCTTCCCCTTTCATGAAAAGTTGTGACTTTTTATGAAAAGTTGCGACTTTTAATGAAGAGTTGCGACTTTTATGAAAAGTTGTGACTTTTATGAAAGGTTGTGACCTTTCCAAAGGGTTGCAACTTTTCCAAATAGTTGTAACATTTGCGATAAGGCACAATAAAACATTTGTTCACACTACATTTTGTTGTCTATAAATAAAGGGACTTCCTCTCATTTTAAAACAACAAAATTTTTGAACCTCTTCTTCTTCTTCTTCTTCTTCTTCTTTAAATATTTGTGTACTTTGATCATATTGAGTGGCTCACTGACACCATTGTTTATGTTACATATCTTGGTATGTATTTTTATAGTTATTTATTTATTCTTATGTTATTAAGGATAACTGATATGATGTAATAATTTTCATATAGTGTTATGATTTGTAATTTTGCCTTTTCTTTTAATAAAACAAATGGTAAACTACAATTGAATAACCTCTATACTCTTAAAAATAGATTTATATAAAAATACTATAACATCAAAATACAAGAAAAGCTCTATTCTAATAAATGTTAAAGAAGAATGTTCTAACCGCGGGAAGCGCGGGCCCATTTTCTAATTTGTATAAAATTGGATGTATCTAGCGAATTATACAAATCAAAAGCTCCATAGCAAACATAAAATTTGTTATGGAGCGCAATTATGCAAACTATAGCTATAACATATAAATATGATTTTTATGATTGTTATATGTGAAAGTTGTTTTATTAGATAGTTTTTCGTGTATTGATGTCCATCGGCTTACTTAGTAGCCTTTGTTTTGGGCTTTGATAAAAGCCTTTCGTTACTCTCTTGAATTACTAACCAAAAATAAGAGTAAACATTACGTGGGATGACCATTTTTTAGGTATGCTTAAAAGGTTTTAGTCATCAATTCAGAATCAAAAGTAATAGAAAAATAACCGCATTATACTATAAAAATAATATTTGGACAAAAATAACAATTCCTCAAATTAGGAAAGGACTTATAAAGATTTGCACTTCATAAAAGTTTGAAAATATAGATAGCTTTTAATACTTTTTTTTTGTTGTTTATTATTGGCTTGTTTTTTTTATTTTTTTAAAAATGTAAATGGAGAAACTTGTTCATTAGTAGTGGATCTCAATTTACTTAGAACTAAGGCGTAATAGTTGTCAAATTACTATTTTTATTTTTTCTTATTTTTTTTATTTGAGATTCCAGTTTAAAACGGTGAAATTAGATCTTGAGTCTAATTCACACCCAAAAGCTTAGCTCAAAGGGAGGAGGATTGTCCAAGCCTTAAAATGAGTTCACCCATCTCACTAACCACCAATGTTAGATTTTTATCATTCTTTAAGGCTTGGGAAATCCTCCTCCCTTTGAGCTAGCTTTTGGGGTGTGAGTTAGGTCCATAACCTAAATTTCACACGGTATAAGAGCAGGGTCCATCTCATCCAATGTTAGGACCCCCAAAAAATCAAAATTTCCCACACATCAGATGCTAAGAAGTGGGCGTGAAGTGGAGTGTAAAAAAATAACAAAAGTCCCACATTGGAGGTAACGAGATGAGTGGACTCCTTATAAAGCTTGAACAATTCTTTTCCCTTTGAGCTAACTTTTAGGGTGTGAGTTAAGCCTAAGACCTACTCTAACATGGTTTCAGAGCAGGGCCTATCTCACCCAATAATAGGGCCCCCCAAAATAAAAATATTGTTCAAGCACCAGAAACTAAGCATTGGACGTGAGGTGAGGTGTTAAAGAATGACAAAAGTCCCACATCGGTAGTTAATGAGATGGGTGGACTTCTTATA